AATTATACAAATATACAAATCATGTAGTAGTAGAAGATACTCCAGAGGGAAAATTGGTGATCAACAGTTGTCCAGCATCCCCAGTACTGGATAGTTTTAGATCTATTTTAATCTCCTTAATAAGTCCTATAGCTATGCAAGTGAGTGCATTTTGATAACTGCTGTGTCTAATTTGTAACAATTACTGTCAACCTTCAGTTAAGAGACTGTTCATTCCACACTGGCCCAGAAGAGTGAAATGTATGACTCGTGTGCATAATTTTATTCACATCATATTTCATACTGATTATGTATTGATGACATTGATTCATTTACTCTTTACAGCGCCACTTGCATGGATATTAAATCTTATTGACCACAGATGAATTTTAATTTCAGATTGGTGATAGATTTTTCCATCAGCTCTGATAGTATGTTTGACTTTTTCATCATTAACCCAGGCAATCACACAGCACTGAGTTATTGCATTGAAACAAAAAGTGCACACTTCACTTGGTAATTCTTTATGGATTTACAATAGGAACTTCATTAATGTCTGTTGTAAGGCTCACCAAAAAAAAAAAAAAAAAAAAAAAACATTTATCTGCAAATGGGAATTTAGCAAGCTTCAAAAGTCTCGGGAAAATAGACTTCTTTGTCTTCTGTAATGCATTTTCTTAATGCAGTGATGGAGGTGGGGGTATGACAAATACTTGAAAACTTTTAACCATTAAAATTATGCTGCCATATTTTGATGCTTATATTTGTCCTTTTCCCATTGCTCGTTTATAAGGTAGTTTTAAATGTATGTTCCGCTTCTTAGTGTTAATTACATGAAATTATGTGCATTTTTATTTAATTTACTAGTATGGGACGCTGCATAGAATAACCATTTTAAAAGTCAAACTTTTTAACTGCAAATTATCCAGTCACCGCTGATGAGGCATTTCAAGCTTCTTTAAGGCGTTCCAAGACATCTAAATACTTAAAGATTTTTATGATTTAGATTCTAATGAAGTGAATCTACAGGGCAGAGTTGAGAACAGTGAATAGATGGTAACATAAATATTTTGAGATACCTATTCAAAATTGAGCCTCAGCCATTTGTACTTACATTTGGTAGCAAAAAAGAAGAAAAGTGCTAGGAATAAAACAGTAGACCTTTTTTTCCACTCCTTATTTTTCCCCAAGTTAGATCTTCACTTTGTTGCTGGTTTTATACCATTTCTTTCCCTGACTTAGCGAAGTATTGTACAAAAAAATGATTGTTGCAGTTCACCAGCATGCATAGTGAGAATGAAAGGATGTAGAGATGAGACGGAAAATGTAGCTTGACTGTGAAGCACTGAATATAGGCAGTAGCAATGTTAGGTAGGGACTAAGTACAAAGTGCACCTAAGAAATTCGAGCAAGATTTCATACCATCTTTTACAGTCCAAGATGGCATACATTTAGAGGTGTTAGGGAGAACCGCAGATAAACCAGGTTTACCTGTTTATAGATTTACATGTATTGTGCCTTTCATTGAAATCTGTTCTCCACACCTTTTCCAGGATGGCAGTGGTAGCGTATTCATTTTGGAACACTAAATATATTTTAGGGAATGAATAAGAACCTAATAGTGTATGTTAATGTTGGAAGCCAAAGAAGAGACAGGTGGGCTTCAAAAATTAATAGCTCTTAAAAGGCATAAGGAAATACAACTTAAAGATACGTCCTTGTCAGACATCCGTGAGAAGCTGTGTTTTGGGGGTGCTGTTAATTAAGAACATTTCCCTGTTGGCGTTAAGTCTCTCACATTTTTGCCCTTGGTGCTTAGCTCACCATGAACACGGTCAATTCATAAAGTAGTTTTTATAAATAAAGGTTTTGGGCAAGCTGAATGTGGTCCAGAGAGATATTAATTAGAGGGCAAGGGGGAAGAGTTAATGAAAACACACTTACTGGTGGAACATAAACTGCTTTTTGGAATTGGAGAGGCTTTAAAATTATTTTCCCAAAACCCTGTGGCGTTTCTTTTCCGGAGGTGATGAGATGGGGAGAAATGACAAATGCCTTCTTTTTATTATTTTTTCCTCTCTCGTTCTCCATATTTTTGGTAGGGAAAATCGGACATTTATTCTGGCCGTTTTTCTTCTATTTGCAGAATCAATTACATTTTTGGTGTATTATGCATAGTAAATGTACTCAAGCATCCTCTGGCGCTTAAAAGCAATGAGTTGATTATTCAAACATCCCTTCTTTAAAGGCAGTTAATTGTATGGAAAGTATACGCCCCCATGGACAGGGTCCTTTAAACTTGTATTCTGACATTTGTTCCAGGGTCTGGGCTGTGTAGTTTATTTGTTGTTCTGCATCATTGACTTTTGTATATTCTGAGGAAAATAATTTTAAGCTTTTAAGTCATACAGTGATTGAAATCTTGCATTTCAGATGGACTCAAATCTCAGGCCACTAGTGTGCAAGGAACTACAAAATTTTTTAACCTGTATCACTGAAGGAGACTAGCTTCGGGAGAATACTGCCTTCTGGAGGGTTATGTAAATCAGGAATTGTGGCTAATTTTTTCTTCTGTAGATTGCTGTCTGCTCTGGAATTTTTTTCCTCCACTCAGAAGTGTGATAGTGCCACCTAGAATTATCTGTGCTTTTCAGTGGAACAGGAGTTAGAGCACATCTCTTTAGTTGGAGAAAAATTTAGTGTTCTAGTTTACATGTCAATTCGAAGTTCCCCCATGGTTACATAATTGGTGTTGTGTGTGTCCATCGTAGAGGACATTTGATGCTCATTTATTAAATATGCTTGCTGGCTGCTGCCGCATCTTTGTTCTGGACAGACAAATTACCTTTCTCACACTGAGCTCCCACTCTGGGGAATTAAGCCTCCACCACTTTAATTAGCTTGGAAGTGGTGGGTTGCAATTCCTAATAGACTACAGGCTTTTTGTAAGTTAGGGAAAGGGTGAAACAAGAACTTCCTGGAAAGCTCAAAATGTCATTTAAAAACCATAAAAACATAATATATATTATTTCATTTTGATAATTGCAAACAGATTGTATTTGACAAGTGTGTGGATTTCCATTTCTGACTTAGACATTGAAGCTACGTTGCATCAAACTATGTTCTTTAATCTATCACAAGTCATTATCACATTACATGTATTGATTCATATATTTATGTAACTATTAGGTGACATAGCAGATAGGAAATAGTGGAAAATATGTGAATATTTGTACATAGAATTTTTCATACAGACACACACATAGGTCGTACCAATATGGGTGATATTTTTCACATGGGAATATTGGAATAATAATGATAACTGCCAGTATTTGTTTAGTTTTTATTAAAGGCTAAGCACTGTTGAAAGTGCCCCCGTATGTATATGTAATGATCACAACAGCATCATCATTATCCCTTCTTTAAAGATGAGGAAACTGAAACACAAGCAGTTTAAGCAACATTCCAAAAGGTTACACAGTTGAGCATATTAATCCAAAACTTCCTGGGTAGAAACTTTGTCTTGGAATGTCCCCACTATTTAAAAAACTCAAGATCCCACCGCTGGGCAAGATGTTACATTCCTTTTGGAAGGATGCTTGCTCTTCACAGAGTTAAGCAATTCACTGTAGTGCTTTACACCAGAAACTTTCTGAGAGTCCATTTACTGTCTCATTTTCTTTGCTAGTAAAACTGCAGAAAATGTTATGCTTTAGTTCTTCACTGCCAGAGTAAGTAGCATAGAAAGCCTCTATCAAGTCACAGTTGGAAAGTAATCTAATAAAAGAAGATTAGTGAATGTGGGGAAGACAAAAGCAGTCATGTTTGAGTTTAATATCTCTCAAATTTAGCATTTTAGCTAAGATGCCCGTTTTTATTTCTTGCAGGTCTGCTAAAAGGTCAGAGTAATGCAGAATGCGTGCCTTCATCTCAGATTTGTTCATCACAGGTGGATCCCATGTGTCTTCAGTAGACAAGTCACCTTTGTAGCTAGCACCAGTGCCAGCTCCATGCCATTGCACCTTCTTTAGTCTTGATTGCCCTTCCCGCATTTATTGGTGTATTAAAATGACTGAATATGAACATTAAGGACTCCATGAACCTGGGCTAATGGGAGACTGTAGAGAAAATGAAAAAAGATCCACCAGAGGACATCTTGGGGGGGGGGGGGAGCTGGGGGGGAGGGAAATGACTAATGAAGCTAATTAAAAGAAGCATTCAAATCTGCTTTCTACCCTCATTAACAATTAGCAGGGCACTGGCCAGAGTTTGTACCCTGTGTTTTACCTTAACAACATTCTATTTGCTCTTTGTATATTTAAGTGTTGTAAGGAAACGTGTTTCAATCAAAACTGAACGTGAGATAAAGGAAAGAGATGTGGCTTTTGTGATATTCTATCACAAACACTTATTGTATCTCTGTAAAATACAATGTATGTATGCATGTAAGTGTTTTTGTCCTAATGTTGCTACTCCCATGGCAAAGAAAAAAAAAGAATGAAAAAAAGAAAAAAGATTGGAAAAAAAAATCAGGCTCATAGCAGCTACTGTGTAGAAAATTCCCCCTACTTCTAATTTGCTGAATGAAGAAAAAAAATCTTTTATTTGTGATATTTTCAGAGACATTTGCTCTAGTATGGTGTATTTAAATAATAAAAAACTTTAAAGAAAAAATATTCCATGGTGTTTGGGCTTAAACACTGCTTTTTCTCTTCTGTATTTTGGAAAATTTTAGTTTTTGTTGTTGAATAACAAGCTCATTTTAAATTTGAAGGAGTTGAGGGAGGTGCTGTGTGTATATATGTAGCTCTGGGCCAGTGAGGCATTCTTCAAATTGCTTAACCATTCCATTATTGGCAGGGCTACAAAGCAAAGTTTTAACAGAGTCCTTTCTATAAGTCAGGAATATTCTGTTAACGGCACGTCGTTACACTTCTATATCACAGTAAGACTTTTGTGTTTATGTATAAATACTTGTTTGGAGTATCCAGCTATTTTGTTTATTCTTTTTCTTGATAGCAAAGCCTTGGGTATTGATGAAAGTATGTGAAAAAAAAAGCTACGGCACAACCATCTTGTTCTCTTAACAAGTTTATAGCTTTTGAAGGAAGCTGCATTTCTAAGTCATACCAGTACATATTTTGAAGCTCACTTAGTTGTAGGACCCAGAGATATTTTTTTTGGAGAGTGTTGCTCTTGTTGCTCAGGCTGGAGTGCAATTGCAATGGCACGATCTCAGCTCACTGCAACCTCTGCCTCCCAGGTTTAAGCAATTCTCCTGCCTCAGCCTCCCAAGTAGCTGGGATTACAGACAGCTGCCACCACACCTGGCTAATTTTTAGTAGAGACAGGGGTTTTGTCTTGTTGGCCAGGCTGGTCTCAAATTTATGACGTCACGATCCGCCCGCCCCTCAGCCTCCCAAAGTGCTGGGATTACCGGTGTGAGCCACCGCGCCCAGCCCGGGAGCTCTTTTACAGTGACCTTTGACTGGAGAAGTAGCCATTTCCTGGTGAGCCTTTAGTCCAGTGTGGTCGGCTGTAAGGTAAGTTTATTTTATTTTGCTCCTACATATCTGTGCTGGTTCTGCCTTGCTGTGTGTATTTTGGGGGAAGATTCTGACTTCAGTTAAGTTTTAGTCTTGAGATACCGAGTTGCTGGTTGTAGGCAGCAGAGTATCCATGACAGCACTTGCACTGCCCACAGAGCTGCCCTGCAGAAAACATGCAGTATAACAGCTAGTGCTGCAAGGAGGAATACCCAATAGGCCCGGATGCTGAGGTTGTACCGCCAGCCTCCTTAGGTACGAGCAAATCTCAACTACAGCTTCCATCACAGGCTAATTAAACCAGGTGTGTGAACACTACTACTTTTAAGTTTTCTTTTTTAACATGGCATTTATTTTGTCCCAGAAAAGCGCCTGATGTAGACCCTCTGAGAATAGCAGTGGAGCCACGGAGACAGGTGTAGCCCAGCACATCTCAACTACCAGTCAGCTTCCCTTTGAGAACTTTGGTGCTCACTTCCTGTTTTCAGAGATTGAGGGCAGGAAAAAAAAAAAATCAGTTGCATGAACTTCAGACCTCCTAGAGGAGAATTGTAAAGGCATAGAGTTGAAGTGAATAGTTTCGTTAGAACCTTATAAAAACAAAATGCAAGGAAATAATATGAAGAAATCCCATACATAATATCTGTTTGAATTAGATCCTTGAGGAATTTCTTCAAACTAGTTCTGGCTCTTAATTTTTTTTTCCCTTTAAGAAACTTTCTGAAGGAAGTCAGACTCTTTGGGATGGTAAAGGGGGAAATGTGTTAATGAGATTGCGAGCATTTTCTATGTTCTTTTTGGCATAAGCATTCATGTCCCTAATAGTGTAGAAATTCAAAGGAGGTGGTTCATAATTTTAGTAAATAATATGTTGTGGCATTTAGTGATGTGGAGGGCTAAGGTCATTTCAGACTTTAAACTATTATATGGCTGGTTCCTCAAGCACTGCTGCGTATTTAATAATGAGCTTCTAAAAGCATTTCTTAAGTTGCAGACCTATAAGATTACAAATGTCACTCATGTTAGTATAATCCACATGCAAGTGATGAAGCCTTCTCTTTGATGTGCTAAATTGGAGAAGGACTAATGGAGCTATGAATATACAATAGAACATATTTAAGCAGTAGTCTTGCTTTAGGTAAAACACTTTCTTGAAACCAGAGGCATTTCAAACAATAAAACCCAGCTCTAATGGGGATGCTCTGTGTGGATAGAAAACTACTAAAAACACTCAGGTTTATTCTGATGAGAGCAGTGATTGTGTGCAGTTCCTCCCCCAACCTCAACATTGCTTAGGAGAAAAAAAAAAAAAAAACAAACCTATGAGCTTCTTCCACCTTTCATCCATTGCATTTGTGATGTTATTAGTTAGCGAGATGGGCGCTGTTCTTTTGAAAGGGAACTTATTTAATATTAACCACGTCATAGCGCAAGATGGCCCCCAGTCCCTACAAGCAAGTGCAGTTAAAAATAAAAGCAAATGTTACTGAGCCCTGCTGAACTCCTGATAAAAAAAATTATGTTTATGATACATATAAATGTCTCAATCATGCAAATTGTCACTCTTGCTAATGAAACAATTTTGTAAAAAGATTGTCCTCTAAAAGGGTTTAATGTTTTTTACCTATCTAACTGTCTGGTTAGATTTACACAACCCGCAAGGCAGGGGAGCCTGAAGCTTTTCCAAACTAAATCGTTTGCCACTAGAAACTATTTTCAGCTCTTCATGATTTATTAGGAAATAGTTTAACACGGACTTTAGACTCTTATAAAATACAAAATGAGAAAACTGTCACACCAAAATGAAGCCTGTGAAATTGTCATCCTCTTAATATTAGCTGTATTTAAATTCTTTCTTTTGCCCTTATTAACACCGATATTTTAAACAACGAATCATCTAAAATGAAGCTCTTAAAGGGCTTTAAATGTCAATATGGTAAGATTCTAATGTGCACTACTATTTATATAAAATATTTCTTAGGGCCGATAAATGATATAACAGTGAACCCAACAGCTACATATTGATTCTAGTGAAGAGTTTCTAAGTAGCCTAAATAATTGTATTTAAATTGAGGAAATGCAAAAATCCCTTCACCCTTCACCCCAAAGACCCCTTCATCCTTCACCAGGGAATTCTATCCTGCGTGCTGTCCCACCTATGACTCCTTTGAGAGGCCGTTGGAAAAAGGCCGTTTATAAGTTAATGTTACTTGTAGCTTTGTTACTAAGACTCACCTATTGTCAGTCCAGCCAAGTCACAGAAATGCTTATTGCAGTTAAATAGCAATTTGTTTCGATGAAACTGCAATTAAAGTATTACTGAGCAGCCATTTTAGATTGGCAGTGCTCTGAACGCATGTTAAACAGCCAGCTACTCCCACTTGCAGAGTCTGAGATCTGACTAGCAGCAAAGTGTAACACATTCTCCAATGTTCGGTACCTAGGTAAGAGGCATTTGTAGCCCTCTGCTCCCATCGTGAACATGCTGAGAGCAATGACAAGTCGGGGCTGATTTTTGGAAGGTGAACTTGCGACTTATCTCAAGTGAATACTGTTTTCAGTTGTACAAGAAGTGCTTTATGCTAGTAGATACATGCATGTTTCCTAGAGGGAATGTTTTCAAGTTCAGATTGATTCTGCTGAGAATGGACGGCAACTCGGAGGCCTCAAGCCAATAATGTACTACAGGTCCTGACATGTTACAGCTGTGTAAACAGGGCCATTCTATTTCCTAAATCACAACTAATAAAGCAGAGGATGAATCAATTGATTCTGTTATAAGTTCTTTGAATGACACTGGAAAATTGTTTAATGACTCTGTTAGAATGGACAAGCCTGAGTAAAGTCACCAAAGTACCGATTTTAATTGTCTCCCTCCCCTCAGAACCTGGGCAGGACAGCCTTTCCTAGGTATTGACATCACCACCACCAGATCAAAACCTGCTGGGTAGGAGAAGGATCTGAACTGAATTCTTCCTGTACATCTAACGTTCAGGATTTGCTGAGTGAGAAAGGTGAAGTGCAAAGGTTTTATTGAAAATGTGAAACATTGATGCAAGATCCTGAGAGAGGAAAGGATTTCAGAGGTGGTGTTTTAAAATGCAATTAGCACTGAATTCTAACCAGTTTGGAAACAATCATTAGCTCATTAGACCAGACCAGGAGGCATCTCACCTTCCTTTACTCTAGAACAGTCCCCCTATCTTGAACTAAAAGGTTCACATCCCCAACTTCTTCAAAAACAATTTTTATGTTTGTATATTTTCACCACTGTTGTTTGAGCTGCAATTATTTTCTTAATTTAGAGTTTCTTCCTAAATTAATTTTTCATTTTTGGTGAATTGAATGTTTTTAAGAACTGTAAAGAGAAAATCTGAAGACAAACAGGATTTACAAATGAAGATTAATTATGAAAGCTGGAAAGGAAATTGATTTCTTGGGTTGTTACTGTACCTTTTTCTTTATTTAAATAAGGTTTGGTAGGAATAGGTATGTCTTAAATTCTATTTCTCTAAGGCCTCTGATTCAATTTCTGTCATCAATCATGGGACTTAAACTTGCCATAAACCTTACATCTTTAAATATAATGTTTAATATAAAAACTTTATCTTGTAGCTACATAAAGCTTTGTAAATGTATTTATACATTAACATTTACAGTGAACAAGTACTTAACATATGCAGTATCATTCAGTCCTCATAATCCTTTTAATTATTCCCTCAGTTTTACAGATGCGGTAACTAAAGTTCAAGGAGATTACTAATTAAGCAGTGCTAAGAGTAGAGTTGAGGTTAGTGGGCACTTATTTTGGGTGTAGGATTTAGGGAGGTGTCAAAAAATCAGTAGTTAAGATAGTCTTTAATGTGGCATTTTAAAAAATAAAATCAAAGCAAAAAATATACATGACAAAATATCAAAATTTTAAGTAAAGGTGGTGTAAAATATTACTTTTTTTGCCACACCTCCAACATGGCAGGGCATTGTTACTAAGGCCCAGAGTGCCAGAATTGCTATTGAACTCTGACATTTGGGACGTTTTGGTAAAATTACCTGCAGTGCTGATGTGCTTTATCCTGTTAGCTGTAACTAGTTTCTTTCCTCTTAAAAAAGTAAAGTATTGCATTTTGTCT